TAATCCACTTTTTAAACAATGCTTTTAATTACGGGGGCTTTTGGTTGGCTTTTTTTATTTTGTTTTGGGCAACTGATTGAGGAACATTCAGATATCAAGGCCAGCACAGTGGAAATGTTGAAAACATTAGTCCAACAGGTGGATATCAGGGCATGATGGAAATGAAATGTTGGCCTGTGTATATAGAGAGAATTTTAGAATCTAGAATACGATATGAATAAGAGTAAAATTTCACTTGTTTGGAGTTCTCTTGACCAGTCTCTCAGTCTGAAGTTAATACCAATCCAGGGAGTAACACAGGAAGGTACCTCAAGGATTAAAATAGATCTACCTCTTTTCTTCCTATGTTCTTAACCTCATAAGAGAGGCTGGGCATTCTTTAAGCCCTCAGAATTTTACTAGATGTGTGTCCATCACATTATTTTCAATAATGGTTCTAACGGATTTGTTAGGTTGTCAAGCCCACAGATCATTTAAAGAGGGAGGAATTTCTGGAGAAGAAATGCAAAATAAAAACAAAACTTTTGTTTTTATTACTAGGAAGAACAAAACTACCAGAAAAACACACCCAGAAGTAAAGAGTTCAAAAAGTTTAGCAATGTAGTAATTTTATTGTAGAGATATATTCAATACGCAGCCCAAATAGCCACCTCAGGGAACTTCTGAAGTCATGCATGATCCTTTGATCAGTGAAGGAAGATAAGTTGTATTTAAAATACTGTTAGTTATAAAATTTAATATTTAAGTGACATCTATTCTCTTATAAAATGCTCAGCTTACTGATATGAAACATATCAAATGAAATACTTTAGTCCATATTTATTTTGACTTTTGAAATCTACAATAGTTCTGTAGTGATCACCTCTTACCATAACATTCCTTGAACACCCTCTGGGTACAGAGTGTAGTAGAAAAGGAAGGCATATGATCCCTGACCACCAGGAGCTTACCTTCTGAGAGAAGACTGAGCCTGAAGTGACAAGTCATCATCAGATTGTGTTTCAAACTGTGGAAGTGTAGTCTGACCAGAGTCCTATATACTATAGAAGTCTTCTTAGGGTAGAATAGTGTATGAAAGGAATTCTTAGGGTGTGAAAAGAATTTAGGAATAAATGAGGGAGGATACATATCTATAAATATATTTTACAACTAAAAATATTACTGTTGTCTCTTCAGTTTGCTGTATTGAATATTCACCTCATTCCCTAACAAACCAAAACTTAACAGTATGTTATTTAAACAAGCATAGTACGTCCTCCACCACTACTACTACTTGTATAAATTCAGGGAAAACTCATTTAAAATCTTACTAACAACTTTCCATTAATCTGTACTTCCCACCTAATACCAGACCATAGTCCTTTGCTGATGAAAAAGATAAAATACTTTATTTTCATGTTCTCCTCCTGTCATGCCCAGATGCCTGTGATGATCCACCAAGATTCGAATCTATGATGCTCAAGGGTACTCCTAAATCTATTTATCATTCTGGGGACAAAATAGAATATCAGTGTCACCTTGGGTACAAGCATGTTCTGCCTTTTCTTGCCACTTCTGCTATTTGTCAGTCTGATAACACATGGACACATCTCCGGGAGGCTTGTACAAGTAAGTAAACAAAACTTTTGTTTTTATTGCTCTAGAGATCTTCACACATTTTATACTGCATATTTCATTACTTCAATAATGATTTTCTCTGAGAATGTAGATTTTAGATAGCAACGTCTTCGAAAATCATCTTGGAATCTTTTTCTTGGCAATTTGTTTCTTAATGTGATTCTTAAGTTTGAGCTTTTAATAATAAAGAAAATATTTCCAAGAGTTCAAAAAAGCAATGTAAAATTTTGATTTTGATTCAAATCTTTTTTTGCAATGGGTATAAAACAAGAAATTTGAAATTTTTCTTTTAGAAATATTATGTCCACAGTTAGGAGAACCCCAAAATGGACAAATAATCTACAGTCATGGAACTTTTCAGCTTGGTTCACAGGCTCACTATATTTGTAATGAGGGGTAAGTTGCTTCTTGGAAGAGTAAGGTAAATGTTACTAATTTCATTTATGTTTTGCTTCTCTTCTTAAATATTACCATAATATTGATTTCATTTTTTTTTTTGCAACAGCTTATAACTCATCAACGCTTAGGTTTTTATGGAGATGCGTAAAGAATAAAACAAATTAAAATTGAAGGGCAGCAATATTGTATAATACTTACTATATTTAATAGTGTGTAATGAATGGAATGAAAAGCTGTATAATGATAGGATAAAATTTAAATTGAAGAAATGCAAAATTTATGATACTCTATGTCATAATAGTTCTATCGTTAACATTAAAAATATAGTAAACATAATAACTTTATCTTTAACATCAAAGCACACCCTATTTAAAATGGTCAACTCTCACAATTGAAGAAGGGCTTATAGAAATGGGAACTAGAATTGCCAAGCAAAGATATTCTCATATCAAGATAACTCTGCCAGGTGTTACCAGACCAAAATTGACCTAATTAGCCTCGATTATAATGTTGATCAAGATCTCTTAGTTGAAAAACCTAATTTTTGAGACTGCTACAAAGGACTGCAGATCTCAAAAAGAGATGCTGAGCACTTAATAGTTGCTTTTGTTCTATAGATTTCTTTAAATAGTATATTTGAGATATTAGACATTTATGAAAAGTGTGCTTTTAGAGAGTAAATGTAAAACACTATAAAATACAATAGGTTTTCATATTGACTTAGTGTCCTGCTACTTCGCTGAATTCATTTATTACTTCTAACAGGATTTTTGTATGTGTGTGTGGTGGTGTTAGGTTTTTCTACATATAGATCTCATTATCTGCTAACAGAATTTTACTTTTTCCTAACTTATTTGAATGTCTTTTTTTTCTTTTCTTCTTATTCTGGCTAGAATACCCAGTACTATGTTGACTAAAATTGGTAAAAGGGGGCATCTTGCATTGTTCCCAATCATATAAGAAAAACTTTTAGTTTTTCATCATTGAGTATGTTTGCTGTGGTTTTTTTTTTTGTATGGTGTTTATTATCTTAAAGTAGCTTCCTTCTGCTCCTAGTTTATTGAGTATTTTTATTATGCAAAATTGTTGAATTTTATCAAATACTTTTTCTATATTAATTGAAATGATCATGTGTTTTTTTCCCCTTCATTCAGTTGACATGGCAGATTCCATTGATCATTTTTCATGTGTTGAGTTACTCTTGCATTCCAGGAATAAGTCTCACTTGTTCATGACGTAAAATCCTGCTGACGTCTGTAGTATTTTGATGTATATTTTTGTATCAAGGTTCATAAGCAATATTGGTCTGTAGACTTCTCTTGAAGTGTTGTCCGGCTTTGATGGCATGGTAAAGCTGGTCTCATAGAATGAGTTTGGAAGACTTCCCACCTCTTCAAATTTTTGGAAAAGTTTGAGAAGGATTGGTATAAGTTTTTCTTTAAATGTTTGGTAGTATTCACCATTAAAATCATGAGGTCCAGGGTTTTTCTTTGTTGGGAGATGTTTAATTACTGACTCAATCTCCCTACTAATTATAGGTCTACTCAGATCTCATATTTCTTTGTGATTTAGTCTTGGTCAGTTTTGTGTTTCTAGGAATTTTTCCATTTTTACTAGGTTATTCAATTTGTTGGCATAGTGTTATTTATAGTACTTTATAAAATTTTGTATTTGTGTAGAATTCGTAAAAATGTTACCACTTTCATTTTTTATTAAATTTATTGTGGTGACATTGGTTAATAAAAGTAAATAGGTTTCAATGTACAGTTCAATAATACATCATATGTATATTGTTTGTATTGTGTATTCACCACCTAAAGTCCTATCTCCTTTCGTCATCATGTATTTGACCCTCTACACATATCTACTCCCCGCTCCCTCTTTTCTCTCTAAACTGTCTGTGTCTATGAGTTTTTGTCATGTTCATTTGTTACATTCGGTTTGTTTTACATATGAGTGAAATCATATGGTTCTTGACATTTTCTATCTGACTTAGTTCACGTAGCATGATAATTTCAAGATCCATTGATGTTGTGCAAATAGCAGTGTTTCTTCTTTTTTTATAGCTGAATAATATTTCATTGTATATATATATGCCATATCTTTTTTATCCAGTCATGTGACAAAGGGCACTTTGGTTGTTTTCATATCTTGGCCACTGTGAATAATGCTGCAATGAACATAGGAATGCATATATCCTTACAAATAAATGTTTTCAAAATTTGGGGGTGGATATCCAGAAGAGGGATTGCTGGGTCATATGATAATTCTATTCTTAGTTTTTTTAGAATACTCCATATTGTTTTCCATAGTGGCTGTACCAATTTATATTTCCACCCGCAGTGTATGAGGGTTCATTTTTCCCCACAACCTCTCCAACACTTGTTATTATTTGTTCTGATGATAGTTATTCTAGCAAGTGTGAGGTGGTATCTCATTATGGTTTTGATTTTCATTTCCCTAATACCTAGTGAAGGTGAACATTTTTTCATATGTCTGTCGGACATTTGTATATTTTATTGAGAGAAATGTTTGTTCTTGTCCTCTTCCCATTTTTTGATTGGATTGTTTGCTTTTTAAAAAATATTTTTAAAGTACTTTTCCCTTTATCATCTCATTTGAGCCTGACAATAACTATGTAATGTCACTTAGGTCATTTTAGAGATGAGGAAACAGAAAGATTAAATGCCTTGCCAAACGTCACTCAGCTAGTTGGCTGAATATTCTATTACTTTTTTATTGTTGTTGAGTTGTATGAATTCTTTATATGTTTTGGATACTAGCCCCGTATTGGAGGTGTTGTTTGCAAATATTTTCCCCATTCTGATTGTTGCTTTTTGTTCTTTTGATGGTTTTGTTTGCTGTGCAGAAGCTGTTTAGTTTGATATAATCTCATTCATTTAATTTCGCTTTCATTTTTTTGCCTTTGAGGTCAAATTCATAGTCTTTTCTAAATCCAAAATTCATGAGCTTAGTACTTATGTTTTCTTCTATGTAATTTATTGTTTCAGGACTTCTATTTAGGTCTTTCATCCATTTTGAGTTAATTTTAGTCTATGGTGACAGGTAGCAGTCTAGTTTCATTCTTTTGCATGTAATTTTCCAATTTTGCCAGCACCATTTATTAAAGATAACTTCTTTTCTCCATTGCATATTTTAGCTCCTTTGCCAAAAATTATTTGCCCATATATACAGGGGTTTATTTGTGGGCTCTCGATTCTGTTGCATTGGTCTGTGTGTCTGTTTTTCTGCCAATATCATGCTGTTTTGATTATTGTACTTTGTAGTATAATTTGAAGTCAGGGAGTGTGATACCTCTGCCTGTTTTTTTCCTCAGGATTCCTTTGGCTGTTCAGGTCTTTTGTGATTCCATACAAATCTGATAATTTTTTTTGTTCTATTTCTTTTAAAACTTCTATTGAGATTTTGATGGGGATTGCATTAAATCTGTATATTGCTTTGAATAATATGGCCATTTTAACTACATTGATTCTTCCAATCCATGAACACAAAATATCTTTTCATTTCTTTGTGTCTTCTTCAATTTCTTTTAATGTCTTATAATTTTCAATGTATAGGTTCTTCACATTCTTTGTTAAGTTTATTCTTAGATATTTTATTCTTTTTGTTGCAATTGCATAAGATTTTTTTTCATTTTTTTTCTAAAATTTCATTCTTACTGTACAGAAATGCTATGGATTTTTGTATGTTGATTTTGAATCCTGCAACTTTACTTTTTTCTTTATTGTTTCTAATAGTATTTTGGTGGAGTCTTTAAAGTTCTCCATATAGAAAATCATGTCATCTACAAAAAAAAAATGATAGTTTGACTTCTTCATTCCCAATTTGGATGCCTTTTATTTTATTTCTTTCTCTTGCCCAATTTCTCTAGCTAGGACTCCAATACTATATTGAATAAGAGTGGTTAGAGTGGGCAACCTTGTCTTGTTCCTGATTTTAGAGGGAAACTTTCTTTTACATAATCTTAATGGTAACTAAAAAAACAGATGTGAGACATATAACATAAAAAAGAGGGAATTGAGATGAAAACCATAGAATACACCAAACTAAAATAACAGACAGAAATACAGGGCAAAGAAACAATAGAGACTCCAAGCTACCAGAAAACAAAAGATAAAATGGCTATAGGAAAACCTCATATATCAATAATTACTCAAAATGTAAATGGACTTAACTCATCAATAAAAGGCACAGAGTAGCAGATTGGATCCCCCAAAAAAAAACAACCATATGCTGCCTTCAAGAGATGCATCTCAGATGCAAGGGCAAATATAGACTCAAAGTGAAAGGGTGGAAGACAATTCTCCAAGCAAATGGCATCCAGAGAAATGCAGGTGGTAGCCATACTTATATCTGATGAAATAGACTTCAAGATGAGAAAGATAAGGACACTTTATAATGACAAAAGAGACCACTTTAATTTTTGATTTTAGTAATTTCAGTAGTTGATCTTTTTGAAAAACTTTTTGATTCATTTTCTCTATTATTTTTCTCTTTCATGTTTTGTTTATTTTTGATCTAAGTTCATTATTAATTTTGGGCTAGAATTGGCTTTAGTCCTTCTTTTTCTAGTTCCTTAAATTGTGAAGTTACATTGTAGATTTCTGATCACCTGTTTTTTTTTTTATTGTAAGATTTTATAGCTATAGTTTTGCCTTCTAGCATTGCTTTCATTGCATCCCATAAGTTGTGCAATGTTGTTTTTTCATTTTAATTCTTCTCAAAGTATTTTCTAATTTACCTTGTGATTTTTTTCTTTTATCTGCTGGATGTTTAAAAGTCTGTTGATTTGTTTCACAGTTTTTGAATTTCCACTTTTCCATTTGATACTGATTTCTAACTTTAACAAGAGAAAGATTCTGAAATGTCCAAAATTAAATTACAGCAGATAAAGGGTGGGAAGAAGAGACAAGGTGTTCATCAGTTAACGGAGCCAAGGGCAGAAACCAATGAGAAAGGCTGCTTGCTCACTTTCCTGAATGTATGTTGAAACTTTGAATCAACTTCCGGACATATTTCAGCATAGAGTTTAAATTAAGGGCTGTTTCAGGAAAATGTCTAATCTGCCACATTCTAGACTGTTGCCCACAACCAATCCAAAAGGAGCAAACACTTCTTCCTTACAAACTAACATCTAAGACTAGACCACTTCACCTTCTCCCGCCCTGTTTATCTATAGCCAATGTCAATTTTTCCTAAAAAACCTACATCTCTCTTCTCCAAACTATAACAGAGCCCTGTCAAACCCAGGATGGTGGACATGTTTCCCACCTCCATCTACCTGCCTGCTGGTGATTTAGACTGCACGCCCCAGGACCTGGTCCTTTTTCTGGCTAGCATCTGACTTAATGAAACATTTCTTTCAGAAAAACTTTTGGCTGTGAAGGTTTTAGTTTAACAACTTCATCCTGTTATGTTCAGTGAAGATATTTTGTATCATAGCTGCCTTTTTAAACTTCTAGATTAGTTATTATTAATTTGTGGTTTAACATATGGTCTAGCCTGGAAGATGTTTCATGTGCACTTGAGGAGAACATGTATTCTGTTGTAGTCTATGGTGTTCTATGCCTGTGGATTCTTATAATAAAATGTTGGAATTTCTTTCTCATTTCCTTTCGTGTATATTCTATAGCAATTTTGTCTGTGGTTCCCATGGGGATTACATTTAACATCCTACAGCTGTAACACTCCAATTTGAATTTATACCAGTCTAACTTCAATAAATTACAAAAAAGGATCCTTTACAGCTCCATTCCCATGCTTTCTGGTTGTTAATGTCATACTAGCCTCTACGCTAACAATTGTAATATTAGCTTCTACACTATTTTCTTTTAAAAGTTTAGTCTCTGAAATCACATAGAAAACAAAAAATGAGGAAACAAACCATTGTTACAATAAAACTAGCTTTTATAATTGCCTATGTATTTACCTTTAGTGAGATATTTATTCAAGTTAATGTCTAGTATCTTTCAATTTCACCTTTCAGGACTCCTTTGAGCAGTTTTTTCAGGATAAGTCTAGTGGTAACAAATTTCTTCAACAAATAAGTAGTTACAGAATAGTCATAGGAATATAAAGTACAGCATAGAGAATAGAGTCAACAACATTCTATTAACTATGTGTGGTGCCAGATGGCTACTAGACTTATCAGGGCAATCAGTTTATGAATTATATAAATGTCTAACCACTATGCTGTATACTTGAAACTAATATAAAATAATATTGAACAACAATTGCAATAAAAAAATTTTAATCTGTTTATAAATTAATTTGTTTAAATGTTATCTGAATATTTGGTAAAATGTAAAGGAAAATACTACTTCAGCTTTTATTTCTGGAGATGTCTTAATATCGCCCTCACTTGTGAAACACAGTTTTGCTATATAGAGGATTTTTGGTTGACAGTTTTTTCTTTTATCACTTTGATTCTATTAGTTTTCTGTCTTTAGGCTTCCAAGTTTCTGATGAGAAATCTGCTGATAATCTTATTTAGGATCCCTTGTATATGATGAGTCACTTCTCTCTTGCAACTTTCAAGATTCTCTGTCATTGATTTTTAAAGTTTGATTATTATGTGTCTTAGTGTAGATCTTTAGAGTTTATATTACTTGGAATTTGTTGAGCTCTTTAGATATTCATAATCATGTCTTTCATCAGATTTTGGAAGTTTTCAGCCACTATTTTTTCAAAGATTTTCTACGCCCCTTTCTCTTTATCATTTCCTTATAGAAGTCTCAAAGTGTATATTGATCTGCTTATTGATGTCCCACAGGTCCGTAAGGCTCTGTTCCCTTTTATCCTTTTTCTCTGTGTTCCTTAGACTCAATAATTTCAATTATCCTATTATTAAGTTCATGGATTCTTCCTTCTGCCTGCTCAAAACTGCCTTTAATTCCTCCAGTAAATTTTTCATTTTGATTGTTGTACTTTTGAACTCCAGAATTTTCTTCTGGTTTCTTGGGGTTCTTTCTCCTAATTTATATTATTATTTTGTTCACACATTATTTTCTTAAATTTCTACACATCTTGCATTAGTTCTTTGAGTTTTTAAGGAAGTTTTGTGTTTTTTTGTCTTTGTTTTTTTTCAAATTTTGTTAAGGCCCAAGGGCCATGTGGCTCTGGCAGGAGAACCCACTGTGAAACAAAGATGATCCAGTGGAGAGGCCACTTTTGACCATCTTCCTTTGTTGCAGGTTGTTGGTGTCTACATTTCTTCTTGAAACAGTTGATCATGCCGGATCGCAGGCAACATCATCTTGTGGATGTAGTATTTCTGGGGAGCTGGTGGAGGAAAACCTCATTGATTCCACCCCAAAATATGAGGCACCACAGGGTGGACTACTTCTGGATATTGTAGTCTGACAGAATGTGGCCCGCCTTCATGTTTGCCCAGAAAAATCAGATGCTGTAGTCCAGAGTGAAGCCCTCCTTTGCTTGAAGTTTTCCTTTAACATTCTCAGTGTGTTCACTGAGCTCAACCTTGAGAGTGATGGTCTTCCTCATCAGGGCACTCACAGTGATCTCTGTGTCTGCCACTCAGCTGCTGTGGGAAAAAAAAGAGGACTATGGAACCAGAAACCACAGTTTTGCCACCAAGAGTACCTACGAAAGATGTACACACAGTTTCAATGCCAATATTAAAGTCTTTGTGGAGTAGATCTACCTTCGGTTCTTTTTCAAGGATCATTTTTGTGATTTATCATTTTCTATGAATGGGCAATACTTTCCTGTGTCCTTGTATGCTTTTTGTTGTTATTGTTGAACTGGACATTTGAATCTAATAATGGGGTAACTCTGGGAATCAGATTCTTAACTTTCACTACGATTCTTATTTCATTTTTGTTGTTTTGTTTTGTTTCAACTTTTGAATGGCGATTTTATGATGAAAATCTGACTGACACACGAATTGCAGGTCTTCTCAAGTTTTTTCTGACTTTTCCACAGACACTCCTTAATTTCCCTGACATATACAGTTGTTTTTGAATATCCCAGTTTTCATGTCTGCCTCCTGAAAGGAGAAAAAGTGAAAAATGAAGGAACAGCAATGGTCAATGGATCTTTAAATCTCTGGGAAGTCACTTTTTTGGGCAAGGAAAGAGCTTGCAAGAGTTGGGGTAGGTGTGACCACAATGGTTGCCCACCTCTTTGCGTCTCTGTGATCAGAAGGAACAGTAAATAATAGAGCATAGAACTCCAATATTTGGAAGACACAGTACTTTTTGCTCATCCTGCTCCTTCAGACTGCTTATAAATTGCTCCAGGAACACATGCACAGGCTGCCTGCTATGGGAGTGAAATGGATAGCTGCCATTGTGTTAAGAGCTAAAATTAACCAAAAGTAATGCATTATACCTGTCTAAGCTATTTCCTGGAAGTTGTAAGCCTTCAGCAGGCTCCAGAATTCCAAAAACAGTTACATAGAGAGATTCTAGCACTGCAATTGTTGTCTAGATGGGGAGTCACATTTTTGGTGTTTTCTATCCTGCCATCCATCATCCCAGAATCCTCTCCTAACACATTAAGGTATAGAATCAATGAGTGAGCCTTGGAGAGAAGTCAGCTGGAAGCAATCATAGGCAGTTTCACTGATTATTTTGTAGTTTAATAAGTGAAAATATCCAGTCAATAATTATATAGAGAGAGTTTGTTACACATATTGAGGAATACCAAAAAGTCTTTTAAGACATAGACTCTCCTCAAAAAGTCGTAGTCTTATTGAGAAGCACAATATATACTGAGAGCTGTTAAAGGAAAGTAGTAAATGAGAAGTACCAAAGAAATAGATTTATTCATGATCATTACAATGAGAGTCCAGAGGAGAAGAGAGTACTGTGAATGTAAATCATCAGAGATTTCATCGAGTAGTTTTCCTGAGCTACTCCTAGGAGAATTCTGAAAAATATTAATAAGACCTAAAACTTATCTAGCATTTACCATGTTCCACATGCTAACTCATCTAACACTCAAAACAACCCCACAAGGTTTTTACTATTATTCCCTTTTCATAAATGAGGAAACTGAGAAAAAGAAACAATAAGTGACCTGCCAAAGCTGAAAAAAACAAGCCAGTCATGGAGCTAGAACTGGAATCCAGTCAAGTGAACTCTAGGGCCTGATCTCTCTACTCAGTCACCCTGAATGAACAGAATGGCATAAATGAGGACAGAGGTTTGAATGTCGTAATGCCTGCGGGACATAGCAAACACTTGACTGACAAGCATGACAGGTTTACTTACACATTTTGCTTTAGGCCAATGCATTCTCAAATGCAAAAATCTCTTTATTTCATTAAACTGCAAATTTAGTTAGCATGTTTGAAACACGTATGAGAAACTTCTTCAAACTACTAGAGTGTAGGAAAACAACCATATAAAAATTGTCTTCATAATTATGTGCTTCTTGTTAACTCATTAAAAAAAAGAACAGTAATCTTTTATTTTCTTATTTAGTTATTATTTACATGGAACAAAAGTTCTATATTGTGAACATTCTGGAGATCAGGTGGATTGGAGTGATAATCCCCCACAGTGTGAAAGTAAGTATATTCTCTCTTTAGAATTTAAGGCAGTAGTTCTCAAACTTTTATCCCTGGAGACCCCTTTATGCTATTAAATTAACAAAGACCCCACAAAACTCTTGTGCAGGTATGTTAGGTTTATTGATATTCATTATATTGGAATTAAAAGAGGTTTTTAAAATCATTATTAATTCATTGTTAAGAACAATAAGCTCAATACGTGTCTAAAAAAGTAACTTTTTATGCAAAATCAAAACGTTTGTTTCAAAATATGGAAATAGTGGCATTGTTTTACATTTTTCAAATGTCTTCAATACCCAGGCCAACAGAAGACCTCCAAATTTCAGTCTCTTGCATTATCAAACAATTTGTAGACACTGGAAATTTCACTGTACACTCTTAAGGAAGAAAGTGAAGAAAAAAGACAACAACATCCTAGTAAAACTAAACCATCAATTTAGGAATGAATATATTTATAAGTTATAAAGCATTTCTCAACTAGCACCAAGTTGTGTTTTTAATCAAAGCATATTGTCTCATTAAATTGTCAGCATCTCTTATGATGAGAACAAGTCTTAACAGGGCCTTGCACATAAACAGAGGTATTTCATATGGTATGTTATATAGGTATTTAAGAAAATGAGATTTATTCTAAAAGTTCATTACTCCATTAGTAATTTGAATTGAGATAATACATTTTCTCATAGAAACATTCTTCTAAATGGATATTGGGTTCACAGCTACATTATAGAAATCATGTTAGTGAATGTATTGAAGGCAGTTTGCAGGACATTAGTAATGCTGTCTTAATCTTTCACTTTTTCTTTTGCCTTTCCTGTCTTCTTTTTCTCTTTCTAAGAGATTTTGTGTCAACCACCTGGAGAAATATCCAATGGAAAATATACCGATAGCCACAAGGCTATGTTTGAATATAATGAAGTAGTAACTTACAGCTGTAATCCTTCAAAGGGACCAGATGAATATTCACTTATTGGGGAGAGCAGGCTTGCTTGTTCTGGGCATAATGTATGGAGTAGTGACCCTCCTCATTGTAGAGGTAACAATATTTCCATGTATTTTCTTCTAATTCGTAAATAGTATAAAAATGCTTTGTAAATGCTTTTACTAACAAGTAAACAAAACAGCTATATGTGTTTGCTTCTCCTGTTCAGTTGGTTTGTAAATCAATATAACTCATATATAATCAAAAATAGTTCTGGTTGTAGAGTTCTTCACCTCTCACCTCACATGTTGTTGGCATTCCACTGTATGCATTATGAAGTTCTGTGTACATGTATGAATTAAGATTATTTTTTGCTTAAAAGCATCATAAAGCACACTGACTTAAAAATAAGGAAGTTTTACCTTGTCAGACAAGAAGCATAAGAGATCTGGCTAGAGGAGATGACAGGTTAAATTGCGAAAGACTAACCCTCTCACTGATAATATTGATAAACTCTAGACAAAACATACAGGCATAACTTGTTTAATTGCACGTTGCTCTTTTGCGCTTCACAGATGTGTTTTTTTTATGAATTGAAAGCAAGACCCTCACCATCAAAACCATTACAACTCACTTTATTTTGATACTCACTTTATTACTGTGGTCTGGAACTAATCCACAGTATCTCCAAGGTATGCCTGTACTTAAAAAACAATGTTTAAGGCATTAGAGCATCACCAAAGTAGGGAGACACTGTAGGGTATTTGACTCTTAAAAGAAAGGAACTGCTGAAGAACAGAAAAATATATCTTCTTTTCAGGTACATATGGAACAATCTTCAATGACATTTCTAGGCAATAAGATATTTTTTTGATTCCAAAAAATTGAAATTATTTACTGTACATTATCTGATCACAAAAATTAGAAAGTGTTGTGAACTCAATAAAGGTTAAAACACAGCATATCAACATATCAAAATTTCTATGCAAAAGCATAGAAAGATATTTATAGCATGAAATACTTATATTAGAAAAAGAGAAAGTTCTCAGCTCAATAATCTAAGCTTCCAGTTTAGGAAACTAAAAAGAAAGAGAAAATCAACCCCAAAGTACAAAACAGGAAATAATAAAGTTAGAAATTAATGAAATTGAAAACAGAAAAAAATAAAATCAAGGAAACCAGCACCTGGTTATTGGAAAAAAACAATAAAATGGATAAATCCAAGGCCAGTCTCAATTGAAAAAAAAAGTTACAAATTAACAATATCAATAACAAAAAAGAGGACATCAGTATATATTCCGGAGACACATAAAGGATTATAATGAACTAATACAAACAACTTTATGCCTATAAATCTGACAACTTAAACCTCCATAACAAGAGAACTGTCCTCAGTGTGGAGAATACTACCAAATATTTCAGGAGTAAATAATAGCAGCTCTACACAAATACTTCAAGGGAATATAAAAGGAAGGATACTCTGACCTCATTTCATGAAGACAGTATTACCCTGATACCAAAACCAGATAGAAATATTGCAAGAAAGTTACAACAATGTCCGTAATAAACATAGAACCAAAACTTCTTTTTTTTCTTTTTTCCCAGCTTTATTGAAATATAATAGACAATTAGTTGCTTGTATTTACATTGTACAATTCAATGAGTTTTTTTCACTTATAGTTGGCATACAATAATATACCAGTTTCAGTTATATAGCATAATGATCAGAGATCCACATAACTTGCAAAGCAATCACCCCACTAAATCTAGTACCCCATTTCCCTCTTACAGATTTATTACAACATTATTAACCATCTTCCCCATGTTACAGTCTACATCTCCATGTCTATTCTGCAACTATTCATTTGTACCTCTTAATCCCTTTGCCTTTTCTGCCATCCCCCCAACCCCCTCCCATCTAGTAGCCCTCAAAATATTCTCTGTATCTATGATTTCATATCTGCTTTTGTTATCGTTGTTGTTTATTTTGTTCACATATATGTGAAATCATGCAATATTTGTCTTTCTCTATCCGATCCGTTTCATTCAGCGCAATACCATCGAAGCAATATCTTTTTCCACCCCCTTCCTTTTAGTCTCTTTGTGTCTTTTAATCTGAAGTGAGTCTCTTTTAGGCAGCATATGTAGGGTCTTGTTTTCTTATCCATTCAGCCACTCTATCTTTTGGTTGGAGCATTTACTTCTTTTCCATTTGAGGTACTTGTTGATAGGGATGTAGTTATTACCATTCTTTATTCCTGTTTTTGATACATGTTTTTTCTTCTTAAAGAAGTCTCTCCAACATTTCCTGTAATACTGGCTTGGTATTGATAAATTCCCTTAGCTTAAAAATATATAAACAGATCAAATTCTGTCATATAAAAAATAAGAATGCATCACAATCAAGTAGGATTTATTTTAAAGGATGCAAGATTGATTCAAATTTAAAAGTTAATCAGTGAAACTTACAAATCAGGAAACAATAACGAAGAAAAGATATATGATCATCTTAATTGACACCAAAATAAGCATTTGACAGAATTCATCCTCTTTTCATGATAAAACCCTGAAAATAAGAATAGAAGGGAACTAACTGCCTGAACCTGATAAAGGCACCCACAAGACTCTCACAGCCAACATTATACTCAATAGTAAAAGACTAATTTACTAAGGTTGGAGCGAGACAAGGATGTCTACTCTGACCACATTCAGCATTGTGTTGGAGGTCTTATACAGTATATTAAGGTGAGAGATAGAAATAGGTATACATATTGGAAAGGAATAAATAAAATATTCATTCACTTATGACATGATTGCATGTCTAGAAAATTTGAAAGACTGAAGTTTTAGCAAGGTTGGAAGATACAAGTTCAATGTACAGAAATCAATGTTATGTTGTACACTAGCAATAAACCATTAGAAATTGAAAAATTGTGAGTACTATTTACATTTACAATAGCTTGGCACTACAGAAAATATTTTTCAATCTAACAATATATGTACAAGATTTGAATGGTTAAAAACAACTAAATACTTAAACGAAATTAAATAAAACATTAATAAATAGAGAAAAATTCAGTACTCAGGAATTGAAAGAATCAAGAGGACAGGCATGTTCATTCTCTGTAAACTGATCTATAAATTGAGCACAATCTCAGTAAAAGTCTCAGCAGAAATTTTTATAGAAATCGACAAGCTGATTCTAAAATTTATAGGAAAAGACAAAAGAACTAGAATACTCAAAACAATTTTGAAAAAAAATAGAGGACTCATTCTACCTGGTGTTGAGACTTATTATAAAACATATTATAAAGCATGTAATCAAAACAGTTGTGGTATTTGTGAAATTATAGCCATAGCATACAATAGACAGAATAGAGAATCCAGAATAGACTGTGAAATGTCTCTAGTTCATTTCATCACAGGTGTACAAACAATTCAGTGAAAATATGGTAAAAGTACAGGCACAATTGCACATCTATATGCAAATAAAATACCCAAAACCCCATGTTATCACCATATACCTTTACTCAAAATAGATCTTAGACTTAAATTTAAACTTAAAATTATAACACTTTTACTGGAAAACATAGAAAATATTTTTGACTTGACTTGTCCAAAGATTTTTTAAATACAATCCTAAAAGCATGATCCTTTAATGAAAAAACTTAATGGATTGGATTTCTTAAAACTCAAAACTTCTGCTATCAAAAGACATTGTTATGATAAAAAAAAATGAGCCATAGACTGGGAGAAAATATTTGCAAAATTCATATTTATTAATGGACTTGTATTTACAATATAGAAAGAACTCTCAAAACACAATAATATAAAAAACAAATCAATTGTTAAAAATTGACAAAAGATCTGAATAGACTTATTTCACCAAAGTGAATATATGGTTGGCAAAAACAGTACATGAAAAGTTGCTCAGTGTGATTAATAAATATAGAAATGTAATTTAAAATTGCAATGAGATACCACTAAACACCTACTAGAACTTAAAAACAAAATGAAAACCTTACTAGACCATGTACTGGGGAGAATATAGAGCAATTAGAACTCCCATACAGTGCTGCTAAGATTATAACTTGCTGTGACCATTTTGGAACACAATTTAGCTATTTCTTATAAAGTTAAACTATACTTACCATACAGCTCAGCAAATCAAGTAAGTTAGAATATGTCCAAATAGAAACCAGTATGAGAATATTCATAGCAGCCTTAGTCATAATCACCCCACATTGGAAACCACATGTCCTTCAGTGGTGAGTGGCTGAACAATCATGGTACAACCATACAATGGAATAATACTCTGCAATAAAAAGAAATGAGCTTCTAATCCATGCAACAATAGGAATGAAATGCATTGTAACGAGTGAAATAAGCTATACTCAGAGGCTGTGATCCCATTATGACATTCTAGAAAACACCATTATAAGGATGAAAACAGATCAATGCTTGGATGGATGGGGAAGGAGGTTGGGGGAGGTAGTGAGGGTTGATTACAAATTGGCAGGAGAAAATGTTGGAGGGTAATGGAAGTCTTTTATGTCTATTGTGGTAATTACATGATTAATGTTTTCATCTATTAAACTTCCTACAGCTAAAATATTTAAAAGGTAAGTTTTGCTGTATATAAATTATATCCAGTAAATCTAATTTATAAAACTCATTAGTGTGATTAGCCACAGTTTAGTACAATAAAGAAAGGTCAGTGAACCTGATCAGGAGAATAAAAATTTATTGATTTGAAAGCAATATTAAAATAAGAGGAAGACAGTTATAAACCTGGGGTAGAGTAGCAAGCAGTCACATATACATGTTAATGGAGTTTTATAAAGAGAAAAGAAACAACAGTATAGACAATTATTTGAATAAAAAATTGGCCGAAATTTTACCACATCTGAACCAAAACAACAACCCCACAAGTCCAGGAAATTCAGTGGTGCTAGCAGGATAAATAAAATTTTTAAATTTACCAAGAAACTTCAACTAAACTAAAACATCATAGTAAAAGTTCTGAAAACAAAAGGGAAAAGCAGCCACAATCCTTCCAAGTAAGTATGACAGCTGAGTTCTCTTAAGGAACTGAGGAGACCATAAAACAATAA